GGAGCGCCTGGGTGGCTCAGTCGGTTAAGCATCCGAGTCTTGATTTCGGCTCAGGCCACCATCTCGCAGTCTGTGAGATGGGGAGCCCCGAGGCAGGCGCTGCACTGACAGCGTGGAGCCTGCCTGGGATTCTCTCTCTCCCTCTCTCTCTCTCCCTGCTCACATGCCCCTGCCCCTCCCCTGCGAGCACGCGCTCTCTCTTTAAATGTTCAATAAACATTATTATAAAAATAAATAAATAAATGTTCAATAAACATTTCAAAAGAGAGAGAGAGAGAGAGAGAGAAGACAGGATGGTCCCGAAGCGGGGAGTGCCCTGTACAAGCTAGAGGAGAAAGAGACCCCTATTGAGAAGAACAGGACACAGGGAGGGAAGGGTGCTGAAGGGCCGCTTAAGGCCAAAGGGACAGAGAGGCAGAGGGAGGGAGGTATGCAAAGGGGGGCACGGGCAGGGGGAGAAGAGCTCCTGGCCCAACGCTATCAGAACAGCCCTGTTCTCAGCAGGCAGAGGGCCAGGTTGGAGCTCGAGCCCAGTGGGGGGAGGTGAAAGGCGCCACATAGGCTCAACGGTGTAATCGGAGAGAACGCCCTCCCGCATCTTGAGAAACAGGCCCCAAGCTGGCCTGGCAGCCAGGAGAAGCTGCTGGCACCCAAGGCTGGGGGGACACGTCCAAGGGGCCGGGAGCAGCCCCTTCACTCACCCACCTGAACCGCACTCATTCCTGTTCTGTGACTCCTCCCTTCTTCTCGCGGGCCTGGGCCTCCTGGACACCTGGGGCTTCTGCTCCTCCCGAATCTCCCCCTGAGGATTACCTACCTCCCCCTCGGCCCTGTCATGCCTCTGGCCCCGCGGCCTCACTTTGATGCCTAGGCTCAGGGGAGCGAGGACCCTGAAGGGCAGTGAGACAGAGAAAGGCGCGTGCACTCTCACGCGGACCGTGGAGCTGATGGCGGCAAAGCAGACGTGCATGCACCAGCACGTGCCCAGTAGGACCGCACGGGCACACAGCTGAACAAGGACGGCCACCCCCTTCACCCGAGCCAGGACTCTGCCGGTCTGCACACCTGCCCGCACCAGCAGCCTGGCGGCCTGCTCACACAGCAGGAGCAAAGGGCTGCGTCCGAGGGCCTCCAGCAAGGCACGGCAGAACCACACGTGCAGCGTCACCCAGCTCCCCGCCAGCTGGGCACACCAGGCGACCCCCTGAAGGAAGATGTAAACGCCACAGATGTGCGCCGCGAGGGCCGCGGAGCCAGCAGCCGTGAGCACAGGGCGGGCCACCTCCCGCACACACGCACACAGCGCTCGGGGAAGCATGGGCACGCAGAGCAGGAGGGCCCGCAGCCCCCGGGACAGCAAGTGGAGGCAGAGACCCCGCACACGTGTCCCCAGGCTGAGGGCCCGCGTAGGCAGCTGGGTCGCTGCACCCCACATGGGTGCACACCCCTGCTCACTGTTTGCGCCCGCAGCGGCTCTCCCAGCCACAGAGGCCCCGTGAGGCCCCGAATCTGGAGAGTCCCGTTGCTAAGGGGTGATTACCCGTGTAATCACACTGTGTTCCAGCCCATACATCTACCTCCCAGTCCCCGATTTACCCACAGCCTTTGAGACGCGTTGAGAGACAGAGCGGAACGCAAAGAAGCCAAGAGCACGGGAGCCGCACACACACCCTGTCCCCCACACACCACTCCTCCCCGGCAAGCGGCACGGCAGGCTGTCACAAGCTCCGGGGCCAACCAGGTGTGTGCAGAAGGCCCTGCCTGAGCGGGCACACTAGCCTCACACCTCCCTGAGGCCACCCTGACGGCTCCCTGCCAAGTTGGTCCCTATCCTGACCCAACCCATAGCTTGCCTGTGGCCGCTCGCCAAGGAGAGCCAATCCTGTTTGGCAGGGCAGGCAGGCTCCCTGGGCACGGGCTCTAGGGCAGAGATGGGCCTGGCTGGATCAGCACTTCTCAACTGCCTGGGGATGGGGGAGGAGGGAAGAAGGGGACAGAGGTGCTTTTCCCGACCCTCTGCGGGAAATGGTCCCTCCCAGGTCCCCGTGTCAGTGGGCAAGATCCAGGAACAGTGACCCTGCCAGCAGGTGGCCCCTGTAGCTAAGCTCAGGCTCTAGAAGGAATGGAGACCCGCCCCTCCACACCTCCGAGTGGAGGCCGCAGCAGGTGAACCTACTCTAGGAGCACACTGATGATGACAGGCCAAAGTTTCTGGTTTGTGCCTTGATCAAATGCATTTGTTCTTCTGAGCCCCCAGCCTGGTGAAGGAAATGGCAAGTCGATTGCCAGGAATAAGAAATGACCACAGGAAAGACAAAATGCAGACACTGTTATCTGCAGGCAAACAAGTAGTTAATTAGTTTAAAATGAGGCTGGAAGCCAGCGAGATGGCAGGATTTTTCAATTAGCCACAAACAAAAATCAAGAGTTTAAAAAAGCGCAATCAGCCTCGCTTGCTGCATGAGACCCGAGCAGGTGACTGTGGCCTTGAATGACTGGCACCGCCGACATGAAGGGGTGTTTTATCAAACGGCCCTTGTGCAACTTCTGGTTTCAGGTGGGTGTGAGGACACAGTTAAAGCCCCATCCACACTCCTGCATGGTGCCCCCTTTATGAAGACCCTGGGGAGAAACTTCTTTCCGCTCTCAGTCCCAGGGCTTCTCTTGAAATACTGGTTGGCTCTCATCACATGACTCTCCTAACTGCTCAGGTTTCCTTTTGCTTAAACTGCAAGGAAGCTCAGAGCCAACATGCTGGCCCATTCTACCATTCTAGCAACTCTCAGAGTATGTCTTTTATGAACTGACTTTATTCCCCTCCTACATCTTATTCTTCTTTCAGAATCGTCCTTCCCTCCCCACTCCCGAGTTCATTTTCTATGCCTACTCTATTTCATTGTAGGTCTGTCTGAAAAGCTTCAGGTACTTGTGAGCAACAAAGTAGGGAAACGGTTCCCAAACTTTGCTGCACGTTGGAAGCACTTGGGGATCTTTAAAAACCATCGACGCCTGCCTGGAGCGCCTGGGTGGCTCAGTCGGTTGAGCGTCCAATTTCGGCTCAGGTCATGATCTCACGGTGCCTGAGTTCAAGTCCCACATCAGGCTGGCTGCTGTTAGCACAGAGCCCTCTTCGGATTCTCTGTCCCCCTCTCTCTCTACCCCTCCTCCATTTGCACTCTTTCAAAAA